TTTCCATTCTTGTCATTTTTAATTCAATGAATTATAAATATAAAAATGAATAAAATAATAAAAATTAATATGAAATTTCATTAATTATTTATAAAATAAACACTAACTAAAGGTTTATCTGTTTCTTCTTGCTCATCAATCTGACTGATGTTTTCTGGAGTTAGAAGTCCTTTATCCTCTATTTCAAGAGATTCCTATTAAATTATCAAAATAAATAATTTAGCTAATTCATTTTACAAAAATTACCAAAATAAAATATAAATTAATTTAATAAATAATTTTTTTTAACGTAAAAGTTTTAGGAAATCATTTTAGAGTTACCAATGTCAAACAATATAAATTTGAAACATTGAGATTCACTTGCGTTCTTATGATGTCATGGTTGTACAAAATATTTCAATTTTTTGTAAAACCAATTTTTTCTAACAATTTCAAAACTAATAATTTAATCAAATACAGTAGTTCTTTTCATTAAATATTACATTCATATTAATGTATTTTAAACTTAATTTAAATTTGGATATAAATTTGATTACTATTGTATTCAACTAACACAGATTTGGAATATTGTAATTGGAAAGAGAAGACAAAAATAGCTTAAATTTTATATTTACATAAAGTACAGCATCTTAATTTCAGATCTCAATAAAATAAACATTGCTACCATTAACAACAAATAGTATCTACTGTATTAATTGGAATGTTTTACATCTGATCAGTACTGGCAAGGACAATCTTATCTTCCAAGAAAGAGTACAACAATAATCAGTTATGTAGTGTCATCTGTAACCACAAGTGAGTGACTTTCTAATGGTCCTAACAAATAAATGTAATTTCTAAGTTTGATTTTAAATAAATATTAGTGTATATAGAAAACAAGTATAGTGAATGCTGCTTATTTAAATCATGTTTATTATGTGGCTATATGCCATATATAAATTGTATATTTTGTGTATAATTGTATTATTTTATATTGTATATTCACTGCTTTCCCTCTTTCTGTCCTATTTGTCTAACCTTCCTGGAATATTCTCGTTTTACCCTTGCTTTGGTAAAGACATGACTAACCCTAGAAACAAAGGAGTGGAATGCAGCCACTCCTTTGTTTCTAGAACAAGAGGAAGAGGGCAAACATGTGGGTCATTCCAAGGTAGAAACCTGAAGGAGAGAGAGCAAAACGGAGTCTCCCCAGCATTGTATGGTAGAGACGAGAACCTTGAAACTGAGAAATAAAAAGGAATTAATTGTGAGAAACAAGACACATCAGTCCTTCAAACTATTATTTTGGAAAGTGACAAAAGTGAAACTAGCCACCAACCTAACAAGAGATCTCATCCATGAGACCATTTCAAGTAGCAACTTTTATTTAAGTGTTGCTTCTGGTAGAAATGTTTTTCTAGTCAGATCAATGTTGTTCAATATTGACTTCTGACTTACACTTTTACACTTACTATTTTGGTCTCCAAAAGTTATGTTATTAAACAAAACACAGTTGTTACATCTTGTTACCTCTGCATGATGCCTGCTTCATGACAATCTCTGCATTTTCAAGAATAGTTATTTCAGAAGTTAAAATCCTGTTGTGTTAGAAATTATTCCATATAACCAGTTCTTATCCTTATTGTAATGTCTACAGTGTCTACTGTGGCAGTCTGCCATGTTCTTCTTTTTGTCTTCACTATCCACCCCATTTCATATGGTCTTTTTCATCCTTTGTCCAGTGTTATGCTGTTGTTTGTAATCATGTCCAGATCAGCTCTATTGTTCAGTGTTGAATTCAGGACACCAGCTGAGGGGAACTGGTCTGAACAACATAAAGGAAATATCTGAAGGGGCTCAAACAGAGAAGTCATTTTGGGTCAAGTCTTGGACAAGGACAGAAGTGAGAAAAACTCAGGAGGACCAAGGTAGACAAACAGTGGAAGAAGTCTCTGAGCTCGAATGAGAACAGCACCATGAGAGAGTTTTTTGGAGAGGAACTACAAAATACAATACTANCACATATGTCATCCCAGTACTCACATATTCTTTTGGAGTTATACATTGGACTCACACAGGTCTCCAGCAACTCCAAAGGAAAACAAGAACAACACTTACTAAGCATAAACATCATCCTAAATCCACCACAGAAAGATTAACCCTTCCACGTAAAGATGGCGGACGTGGCCTGATTGACATAGTTAACCTTCACTACAAGCAAATACAATCACTGCAAGAGTTTTTCTACAGGAAACAAGAAACATCACAATTACATAAAGCAGTAACTTTAGCAGACTCAAATAGCACACCATTAAACTTACACTCACATCATACAGACATGACACAACACACAAAAAGTATAGACACCATCAAGCAATCGTGGGCTCGAAAGGCACTCCATTGCAGGCATCCTTATGACCTGGCCCAGGATTTTGTTGACAAAACTGCGTCAAACAGCTGGTTAGATCAGGGATGACTCTTTGGGGAGACGGAAGGATTCATGATTGCCATACAGGATCAGGTCATAAATACTAAAAACTACAGAAAACACATACTCAAAGATACAACACTCGCAAATGACACATGCAGAAAATGTCACATCATGCCAGAAACAATACAATACATTAGATCTGGGTGCAAGCTCTTGGCACAGACAGATTATTTACACAGACATAATCAAGTAGCAAATAAGACCAAGAGCCTGTAAACAAACACAAATTATTAGACATCCATGAACCATATTACAAATACATTCCACAGATAGTATTAGAAAACAACGTGCACAAAATGTACTATGACAGAGTCATAATACATATTGTATGTGTGTCATTGTCTGTGGAATGTATTTGTAGTATGGAATGTCAACATAATCAGAGATGAAACAATTTACCACAACAGATCAGACATCACAATCATTGACAAACACAATAAAATCACATACATTATAGACATATCCATTCCAAACACTCACAATATACAAAACATATTCACTGAAAAAATTAGCAAGTATACAGAACTCACCCAGAAAATAAGGCATCTGTGGAGGATGGATAGTGTGCTTATTGTACCTGTTGTTCTCTCCTGTACAGGTGTGATACCACACACACTACACAAAAGCCTGGGAACATTACAATTGAACAGAAATGCATACATCACACTACAGAAGGCCACTATATTGAATACATTGTTAGAAAATTCCTGAATACAGACACTGACACACTTATTTAATTTTTGTTTTTGGTTGCTATGCCTTGACTCTGATCTGGCATCGTACACAGCCACAGGTATCAACCGAGTATAACCCATTAAATACTGTATAATAATAATAAAGCATATTTATACATTGGATTTTTTGGGCTATATTTAGGCTAATCTATATATATATATATATATAAATGAATGTGTGTGTGTGTCTGTCCGTCATGCATTACCACACCGTTTATCCGATTGCCATGGAACTTTGGGAAGTTGTTTAATACACTCCCGCGAAGTACATTTATCCTATGATAGATGGCGCGCATGTATATGAGCACTGTGTGTTCTGTNAATTCGAATTGGTTCGATTATAGAACGATTGTAAACGTTCCAGAAAATTGATCAAATTGAAAATAGTTTGTTTGACTGGACGTAAAAATTCTCTAATTAGTCTGGAAACGGGGGACCTAATTCTTACATTCTGTGAAAACGGGTAAGATTGGCTATAATGTAATTATCTTAATCTTCACTATCGCTACTTTTTAAAAACCCAGCGAAGCGGGTCCTTGCAGCTAGATTCTAGATTACTTAGAAAAACACTCTTTTATATATATATAAAAAACTATATTACATACAAATGTACAAACAAATAAAAACCCAGCAAAGCGGGGTCCTTGCAGCTAGTATTATAATAAAGTTAAACAATTAGCCTCCATTTTCTTGGCCAAAAATTATGACTGAAAAATTAGACTTGTTTGCCGATTATGTAATCATTTATGTTTAGTTTTTTAGATAATTTTTAAAATAAAAATTGGATCGTAGATAGTATAAACATGTAAGTATTATATTTTAAAATAATGGTAAATTTTAATTTATTTTTTAATCAATGGAAATATATCTGGTACATTTTTCATTGTATATAACTTATATCATAAAAGAAAGTGCATGTGCTCTAAATATGGTATAGAACTATTTTATTTGTGGTTGTATATCGAAAATAAATTCCTAATATAAAAACACTGCCAAGCTAAGTAACAATGAATTTTACTGTAGTGGAAAGCCATTGATGGAGCATGATGGCCAATACAAAAGACACCAATGCAGCAAACATGTTAATGTATGTAACAGAGTGAGCTATAATATATACCCTAACATTTTTAGTAAATTTACTATTTTTTTTTTAATATTACAAATGAGTTATTAATGATAAACATGTTAATAAATTCAATATAAAATCAATCAAAACATAGTTCTTACCTTGCCATGTTTAACAATATAATCAAAAAGTTCCCCTCCAGAAACATACTCCATAATCATGAATATATCTGTTGGAGTACTAATAACTTGATATCTAATAAGAAAAAACATTGATTTTCTGGTAATTCATAATATATAATAATATAAGAAATTAAAATTTATTCTGTGACATCACCACTTACAATTTTATAATATGAGGATGCCTGAACAGCTTCAGATTTTGTATTTCTCTCCTTATTTTGCCAACGACATCAAGATTCTTTATTTTCTGTCTGTTTAAAATTTTGACTGCCACTTTGTGACCAGTAAGTTGATGACGTGCAGCTGAAAATGATTGAAAGGCAATGAAACAATTTGGAAAAATAAAATAAAATTACATTTACAAAGATGTAAGATGCTTACAAAATATTCAATAAAATAGAAATTATTGTTATAGTTATAGTATATATATATACACTACTATATAATTTATATACTATATATATATATAAAATTAGTAATATATATGTATATAATTAAAATATATATATGTTACCGGCAAAGTATGAAAAAAGGTTCTGATAAGGCTATTATATAAATGACATGCATTCCTCAAAAATACAAATGTTATTCTGAAAAAATAGAGTGCCATTAAAAAAATTTATTCAAAATATGTAAATAAAAATGAAAGTTGTACAAAACAAAATTTATGCCTTTCTTATTAAGGAAAACAAAATTTTCATATAAAAAATAAGAAATTAAAATTATTAATAGAACACTTACG